AGCTGTTGCTAGTTGCTTGCAGCCACCCGTATAGTTTCAAATCTAATTTTCCCACCAGCAATCGCCAGCATTCAAGGTAAATCTGTACTTTGCCCTTTTGACCAGATCTCTCTCACAGGGAGTTTAAAGGAGGAAACTATTGATAACATCATTATAAAAGTGCTAGGAGCAATGAAAGAGAATATTATTTTTGTGGAGCAAATACTGTTGTCTTGAAATATGTAGATCTGCAGTTCAGTTCAAGCAGGATATCTACAGACTTTTTCATATTTATGATCAAATTTGAGACAAGCCTAAAAGAAGGGAACACATTTTCCCCGATAACTCTGTTTTTAAATGTGAAATCTCAAACACCAATTTTATGATAGATGTGCTTTAAACTAACTTTACTTTTTTTGAAGTTACCCCTGTTACCCATACTTTTATGATAAAAGCCCGAACTACCTAATCTTGTTATCTGGGTCAGTCCTGCCACCTGTTTTTATAGCGGGAACTAAAATAGCTTAGATAGCCACGAACTTGGGGTCACAAAAGCACTTAACTCTCTGAAAAGCCATGAAGAATCACAGCATTGTTTTTCCCTCTGTCAAGCGCTGGTTGGGAGTAGTCACATCAGAAAGAACTGCAAGTGTAAACTTGCGCAAAACATCACAGAAAGTGGATATGGAAAACCATCATGCCTGTGCCAGAGACATGTAACACTTTGGGCATGCCCCATAGCAAGTAGTAAAGAAAGAGGAAAATTTATGCTTCATTCAGACTGCATTTTCCTTGCCAAATAGGACTGCAAATCGCTGCCTAATTAGCCATCTCCTTTCACCCACATATCCGTCAGATATACCGTTTGGCAGGTTTCTTCCTGCCACTAAATACCGTTTTTCTCCAAAATATATCAGTTTGTGTTTTCCGAGGTCAATGTCGCGGTATTTGCTGCTCATGTTTGTAAACACGCACTGACGCTCAATATTGCTGTTCTCACTAGTGGGCTGGGCACTCCTGGATCCTCACTTCTTATGATATTGCCAAGAAGCTTTGCCTTCCAAAACGACATGTAGGGAATATCACTTCTCTTTCATCAAGCTGTCAGTCCGTGTATCACATTCACTATCATGAACATTTGTTCACTAGTATGACTGCATGAGAGTCTATAACAGTTTTCTTACTAAGAGGCAAACATGTTTTATGATTCTGCTGATGTCTGAAAAATCAAGCTCTTCTAGTAAGATCATTTTTCATAAACTGAAGCTGTTTTATTATTTAATGTTCCACTTATACTCCAGGAGCCCTGTCTGACTTCCTTTACTTACCCAGACAGTTCCAGAGAGAGAACTGCCTATGAGAATGGGCAGAATTTGGCCCTGTATACCCAATTAACTCTGATTAAAAAAGTACAGAATATTGGTACCATCTGGCATCTTCTAATATGGAAAGTTTAACATGATTTTTTAGGAAGTTCAGCATTCAATTGCCAGTGAAATCAATAGGTATTGTACACCAAATACTTCATAATAATCCCAGTGAATCATAACACTTCTTTAAGGAGACACTTTTATATTTCTGCCTCCTTTGCACTTTTATATTTCATCCTCCCTCTCTCACACGTCCTAGAAGAGCCGGGGTGGGGACAGATCTGGCCACAGGTCCTACGTTTTGACTACTCCTACCTGTCATAATACATCCTGAGACGAGATCCAAGGCTTAGTTCTGACAGGACCAGCTCTGAGAAACTTCTGAGACAGTTGCCAAGCTGTGAGAAAGAACTGTTTGAAAGTACACAGAGCCATGCAAGACAAAATACGCAAAACTACAGTGGGTAATGATGAGCTGCGGATAGTTAGCAGTTCAAGGATTCAAATGGAAAAACATTTTGATATGAAAAAGTGTAAATCCTAAGAGAAAAAACAGGAGTTGGAAGATGGCAACTCCGCAACGATGAGCACATTCAGAAGACAGCAAGGACCTTTCCCCACATGACTGACAACTGCCTGGCCAAGAGAGACTCCTTATTTCAGAGAAAACATAGCTTCATGAAATGTCAGCTGCAGAACCTCCGAACACTGTGTACTTACTTAGGCGTGAAACTGTGGAAGCCATCGTCTTTAGTTATTGGTTATGAAATTCTAGGCTTGCAAACCCAGTTTGTCTTTATCATGAGCTTTTATTTTTCACTGTGGATACCAGCAATATGACTTAGTGCTAAACTGGGTAATATAATGCAACGTACTGAGGAGTACTTCTGGAGTGTGGAAAACATCATTCCTGAATCATATCCACATGAAGATCTGTGAATCTTCTGAGAAGATTAGGGAATCAAAGGAACCAGCTCAGAACTGACTTATTAAGAAGCTGATCAAGAGCTCAATCTTGTAAAAAGGCATAAGACGAAAAGATGTAGAGACTATAGCATACAGTCCCCTTGTACTTAAATTATTAAGGCCTCTAACAAAGAACAAATGATGTCCCAATGATGATTATGCCATCTTCGTGCCTTGATAGTTATGCATGGTTGTGTGTTAAGCACATGTATCGAAGTGTGCTATTTAGAGCATCTCCTTTCCTCCCAAGATTCAGGAATACAAAGAAACCGACAAAAAGTTTTTTCTCAAACTTCCGCCCCAAAATTACTACTGGAACACAAAGACACCTCAGAACTCAGGAGCAAAGGAGTTTGCTAAAGATGCGAGCAACAGGGAGTTTTGACCTGACGTTTTGGCATGGCTATTGCGTATTCTAATTAAAAACCTGTTTTGCTCGAAGTTATAGCAATGGAAATGAAACTGAGAGTAGTATTGTCCCAGGATGAGGCATTCTGGAAAAAGGAATATGTCTGACAGCTGAAGTGCACTACTACTGCTACTGAATCCCAATTCAGTACACTGCACAGGTTAGACATTTCATCAATAGGACTGTAATAATAATTTCATTAACAAGGTTTTATAAAAGCAATATAAACATTTTAGAGAAGCATGACAGTATGCCATTATACAAGAAAATTAATTTCCTCACTAGCTGAAGACATATGAAAGTCAACTGCATATCTTGCAATGCCTTTGAGTAGTTTCTGTATTCAGTGTGGAGACCCATAGTAATGGAGATGATGTAAAATCCTAAATTGAAAAGTACTACTTACCTCTTGTGATATGGTCAGAAAATGCTAACGAGAAATTAGCCACGTAGTATTCTCAAAGACTCACTAAGCAATGGATAGCACTGGGAATGCTATTTGCATCTCTGCCTGGGATCTTGCTTCGCTTACAGTTTCCATCTTTTGCTCATCTGGCTTGAGGAGTAGATTATCTTTTGCAATGAGACTCAGGGGGGAATCTCACATGGGACTTTCGGGGGCCGCTGTTGGACAACAGTATCTAGTTGTGGACATTCCTGCACAAACATGTTATGCCTTCCCTGTTGTTCACTGTTATCCTAAGCTTAATCAAGTGAATATTTAACAGAGCCAGGCCACCTAGAAAATACTTTCCAGCAGGGAAAGTCAAGACGGAATGAATGAATGAATGAATGTATAGTTAGTGTTCTAATAGAATAGGTTGATGCAGCATAAGAAATAAAAACTCTCCTTTAAAAAATTCTTTATGCTTCCTGTGGGTTAATTGTATTTTGTTTAGGTGCTACTCCTAGCGCTTACTCGAAAGAGCTTAGTCCCCTACCCGGGGTAATCCCGGGCTGCTGTGTATCGCGGCAAACGTTAATATTGAGCTCCCAGCTGCCGGACCTTCTCATCCGAGTCTGCAGCGCCACGGGAAGCGGGAATAATTCCTCTGCATATCGTCCTCCCCTTATTACACTGCAAATCTACCAAGGGCAATGTAAGGACTTTACGTATTTACTTCTCCCTTTGGGGACTGCAGATTGCTGGCGGGGCGCTAACCAGAGCACAGGTGGAGAGAGCCGGTTGTTTAAAACTGAATTAACCTCCTGCCTTGGGAGGGTCAGGCTGGTCGACGGCCCCCGGGTCGACGGCGCCACGCCGAGCACACGGCAGAGCCACCCCGTCGGTGCCCGCTGGCGGGCC